AGAATATTCTTAACTATGGTAGTATAAAAGAGTGTGAATGGTAGGGAAAAAATGGGGGAGGGGTGCAAAAACACAAACCCTAGCCATTATTAAGATGTGCAAAAAATATTTTAAGATGAAAAATTATAAAGAGAGGAATTTAAAGAAAAATAGAGAGAATTGAAAGAGAAAATTTTGTTTAGAAAGAAAAATCTGTGAAAAAAAGAAAAGAAAAAAGGATAAAATCATAGAAAAAACTTGCATAACTAGCTCCATCTATCCTCACTCCTTTCAATTGTTGTTCTCTCACAACAAGTTCCACCACTCATAGCTAGCAGACCAACTCCTCTTCACAGCCACAATGAGATTTGATTGAAGCCCAATGTAACAACTTCTCCATTTGTTTTTCACCATCTTTCCACACATTTCTCCATCATGCCACAACCATTATGAACTGCCACACTATAAACTCTCTCCATATCAATCAACCCTTATATAATTATACCACTAAAAGTAACATACAATAGTAACAACAATAGCTAATAATGAAGAGAGAGAGGAAGAAAAATAAATAAAGAGAAAAACCAAGGAAAAAAACATGAAGCTTTGGATGGCCTAATTTCTCTTTATAAGTAGTGGTGGATGAAACCACCCATATAGGAAGGAAGACCAAGAAGTCATACACTTAGTAGAGTGACTCATGTACCTTCTAAACTTATTAATGTGAGAAATAATATATTAATAACATTAGTAGTCTACTCGTGCGTAGCTTGCACACACTTTCACTTCCTTCACTATTCTAGTTCTTTCTGATCCACTCTAGCTATTTTAGAAGGTTGATTTCAAACCCTAATTTTTTTAATGATTTTTTTTTGTTTTTATTATTGATGTATGTTATGATTATATTTTTAGGATTGAATAAATTTTAATGCTTTATTATTGATGTGATTGATGTCTTATTATGAATGATTATGAAATTAAAAATGTTGGGGTGGGTCCATGCCAATGTATGGCAATCCTGGGGTTATTATACCTATATGGAGATGTTTTTAAAGTGGATTAAGACTGAAATTAATATCTTATGATGAGTTGACAGTATAGGTTATAATAGATTTATCCAAGGCTTTATGGTTTGGTTTTTGTATAAAATTATATGTGTGTTGACGTTGTTGTTAACTTGTTGCTATTTACAAATATTTATTTTTGAATTGGATAAAAAATAATGTCAACATGTTTTTATCATATCGTGACTAAAATTAGATGCTAATAATTAGGTGAATGTGTCTTCTAATTTTAAAGACAAGCTTAAATATGTTTTTAAATCTTAAAATGAGTTGAAAAATATATTCATGGTTTTCCTCGTGTTTACATCAAGTTGACAATATTTTGGTTTAAACTTAGTTTTGAAAACTAGGTCGATAAGTCTTTTATTTTTATGAATCAACATAACCCTAATATGATTTATTTTACTGAAAATAAAAAATATCAAGTTGGAAAACTTGTAATTCAGCCTGATACTAACTCAAATAAACTTTCATCAATAACAAATAACTTATATTCATTTTAATTTATTATCGCTTATATTTAATAAAGCACCTGTTGATTTTATATCCATGGACAGGTCTGGCCCAATATCAAGGCTAATTTTGGGAGTAACAAAATCGAGCTTCAAATAGAATATTCTCATTGTTAACGCGTGCCAAGAGATTGAGTCATTATAGGACACAAGAACAAGAACCAGTCTGGAAATCCTTGTTAGACGGGACGATCCTAGGATTGGAGAGTGTTATAAAGCTTCGTATTATAGTCCCAAAACAAAATGAAAAAACAAAGAAAGAAAAACAAATAGATTGTAATTTCCCTCCTCTTTGTTTAGATAGTCTGAAACTGAAGAGAAGAAAATGATGCTAAACAATTACTGACGGAGGGGGCAGAGATTTTGACTGAAAACCATGCATTTGCCCTCGTGTCTTCTCACACCTCAGATTTTTTATTTCTTATTTTTAAGAAAACAAAAGGAAGTAAAGGGAACTTGAATCTTGTCATCTTCCTAAAAAGATATGTAATAAAGGTCCTTATTGCAAGGAAATGGCATATTGTAAAGGTCCTTTACAAGGAGAAATGGCATGGAGAAGATTAGAGCAATGGCGATAATAATAATGGGAAAAAAAGAAAGATATCATCTACTTATTATTGACACATACATCATTTCAATCTCAATTTGTTGCTTCTACCCACAAAATAAAAAAGAGTAAAGGCCCTTATTGCAAGGAAATCATACATTCAATATGCTGCTAGAATAGAGTTGGATTGCATCGTGCTTCTAGAATCTCCTCTCCAGGGACTTCATTGGATTCGAAGATGCAGAACTTTTCCCAGGAAAGCTACCCGGTGGCTTCATCATGGAAGACGAACTGTACATGGCAGCAGTAGCTGTGAGTGCTGGGAGTACAAGGTTGCCATATTGAAATGTGCACCACAGTTAACATTACCTGCTATTCCTTTGCAGAGCATTTTTCCTCATGGCGGCAATATTTTGCACCTCGCGACTGCTCAAAAGTCATCAAGGATGAAGACAAATGAAATCATTTCCTGACAAACTCATCTCAAAATAGCAAAAGCTTGAGCACAGTTATCCAAGGCCTAGGCAAGAAATTCAATATTTCGTGCAGAAGACTTCAAAATTAAATATCAAGATCCAGCAATAAATGGATGCAACAAGACATTTTAAACTTAACCTGATCCAAAGATATTTGCTGTCTCTTTTGTTTTCACAAGTATGAAGCACTCTGTTCAAATATGTTATTCTTTTGATCTAGAATTGGTGTTTCTGTAGCAGTCTCGTTAAACCTTAATGCGCAAACCACAATTTTGTAGGGCATGTAAAATGCAGATCAATGGTTGTGGGTGAGGGAACTATTGTAAAAATCAGAAAGAAGAGAAGCTAATGAATTCGTTTCAAATGAACATAATTGCACAAAATAATATTACCTCTTCAGAAAATCCATTTTTGCCTTCTTCATCAAATTGCTCTTCCCATTGGAAAGATTGTAGCCAGGTCCACTTCCTAACAAAATATTATATTGAATAAAATGACATGAAAATTTTAAATGCATCATCTTCCCCTTCCCAGCCACTGAAAGGAGGAATTGCAGGAACCCCAACTTCTAATAACAAGTCGCCGAACTACAAAAGAACCAATTACAAGGGAATAAGTATGGCTACCTCCGCAAAAGCTTCTTTTATTGCTTGAAGGTGGAACCTTCGAGCAAAGACGAACTTGTCGACTTTGTTTTCCTACAGAAATGAACCACACAGTAAGAATTTTATTTGTACAAAAAGTAAAGCATACAATACAAAACATACTGCCTTGGACTTGCAAAAATACAAACTCAGAGAATAGTGCTCAGATTACTTGTTAGACCAGTTAATTTAACAAATCAAACACCCCCAGCCACCCCCCTCTCCCACCTTTAAGAAAAAACAAAGAAAAAATAAATGAACTCAGCCATAAAAAGAAAAGAACTCCATTAGATCAGGTCCTACAACAATGCTAGATTTGATGTGACAAAATGAAGGAGAAAAAAAAATCTTCCATAATGGATGGGTTATTTTTAAAAAACTCAGCAGCATAAAACCTTCAAATAGTTTCCATTGATTACAGTGAAAGAACCCCGGTCCAAAAGGGTCTCCTTCAAAATGGCTTTTGTTGAAAATGGTTTGTTTTTGAAAAATGAGAGTGGCCACTTATTATTTCAAAAGAAAGAAAGAAAAGATAGTGAGAATAAGAAATAACTCCACATTTGTCAAAAAAGGGAAAAAAGAAAAAAACAGCACTAGCTTTTAGGCAAAAAGAAAAGGTAGACTCCGGAATTTGTACCAAAAGGGGAGTTATGCATCCTCTTCATTTTGGTGAAAAATCTTTCATTCCATTACCTCAAAATTAATTCTTACCGTAAAAAATCAACCAATTCTAAAGATGTTAATGTGTACAAGCTAGCACAAATGTAGAGTATCATTTCAGTGCCAAGAAACCAAGTGTGTTGTAGTGCAAGTATGAAAATCAACCTAAAGGTGCATGCTTGTGCTAGTGAAAATCAAACTAGATGTGTCTGCATCAGCTAGTTACTTTAAGAAGAGAACTGGGGATATTGGGAGCTTTCAGATTTTAACATAAGGAAGGTGGTCCTGAGTGTCCTACACATCCAGTGAAGTGAAAGGAATCAAAATAACATAATTTTGTTTGTTTTGGCACTATGAAAAAGATTTGATACAATTCTAACCTTTTTTGCAAAGCCAAGTTTTATTTTTGAAATGGGTAAGATAAAATTTTATCACAAGAGTACATAAAATTATTAAGGATTTTATTTTACACTTGGCATTCTAGCAAAAGCCTTGTGAGAAAGATGAAACGAAATGATAGGACAATAAGAACAAGCTCAAATCACAATATGCCCTATAACAGCCCGGCCCAACCTGCTATATATTGTCCGCTTTGGGCCTTCCGCCCTCATGGTTTTATTCCTATTGTACGCGTTTTGGAGCGTCGT